CAGTGATTTGAATGATTGAGACATGATTGTTTGACAGATATATCGCTCAAGCGAATCGCGCCTTCAACTTCTACGGGGTGACTGCAATTTATCTTCGGTTCGAATAATCTCGATATTTATCGCGAACGTCACTTCAAAATTTCAATTTGCAGGTCCCCTATATTCGCGCGATTGTGTGTTAGGCGAATGAAAAATATTTTGATTGCAAATCGTGCGCGCAACGATGGACGGGATGCCCTAATCAAGCGTAGGTACGTCGCCGTGGGAGCGACGATTATTAGAATCCAGCGGGCTTTTGGTGCTAATGTCCCCGAACAATCTCGTGATTTTCCACAGCGCATAAAAGCTACGATGTTTGCTGTCTTTAATGGCACATAACACCGTTACGATCCTCTCCTGCGCCATGCGCATATTCGTCGTGAGAGACCATCCGCCATTTCTATCTTATATTTTTTTCTTCTCGTGCTGCTGCGAGTCGCGTTAAAGCGCGATGCGGTAATTAACTTCGTGTTGCGATAATATTCGCGGGCACGCTCGTATTTTCCCGAGATTAGCGCGCTCGAAAGACAACGGACGGGATTGTGCACCCCACGTGACGGGTGCAAAGCGAATGTCAAAGCGTGAAGGTTGAATTTGCAACAGATTCTTACATTGTGTCGGACAAGACAATGAGTTGTATTTAAACGTCAGGAATAGAATATTGCATATGTGACATTCATAAAGTACAAATGATTTCTTCGAAGTGCATTAACGGAGGATGATGTGGCCCCCGTTTGTACAATTCTCACGTTACGTTTATATTAATTCCTTTGCGCTTTGTGCATTTCCGCGTGACATTGCTAATTATCCGTTTATTCTGATTTTTAATACTGAATGTGAAAAGATTTATTTATATTTATATAGCTTTCATATTGCATTCAGTTTATTATAATGAACACATATTAATTAACCGGTGAAAAATCAATTTACCGATCAGTTAACAGGTAATCGATTATCATTATTCGATTAATCTTTAAATCGATTATTCCGTTTAATATATTTATTTTGTTATCCAAGATTTTTCTTCTAAAATTTAAAAATTGTTGTTGTGTGTATATGAAACAACGAACACGTTAATTTAAGTTTAATTTGACATTTCTTTTTTTTCTGTGTAAACATTGTATACATACTACACAATTATTATATCACTATAAAATTCTAATAAAAATAACACGTAATCAAAGAAGTAATTTATCCGATTAATAATTAATTAGTTTCATCGATTAATCGGTTACAATCGATCATGAGCTCTAGTTTCAATTTTCATTCGAATACCTACACATTTTTATTCAATATTTTCTGAGAAGAAAAAAAATAAGATTTTAATGTTTAATTTCGTCCTCCCAAAAATTAATTCATTAAAAAAGCTTAATCTTCTCAATGAATCTTTATTGTCGCGTTTAAAGATCATATCTGACACCGATCATTCTTTACATCGGTTACAATCAATCATGAGCTCTAGTTTCAATTTTCATTCGAATACCTACACATTTTTATTCGGTATTTTCTGAGAAGAAAAAAAAAAAGATTTTAATGTTTAATTTCGTCCTCCCAAAAATTAATTCATTAAAAAAGCTTAATCTTCTCAATGAATCTTCATTGTCGCGTTTAAAGATCATATCTGACACCGATCATTCTTTACATCGGTTACAATCAATCATGAGCTCTAGTTTCAATTTTCATTCGAATACCTACACATTTTTATTCAATATTTTCTGAGAAGAAAAAAAAAAGATTTTAATGTTTAATTTCGTCCTCCCAAAAATTAATTCATTAAAAAAGCTTAATCTTCTCAATGAATCTTCATTGTCGCGTTTAAAGATCATCACTGACACCGATCATTCTTTACAATTAGACTGTCTCCTGCTATCGCGAAGAGGATCGCGCGGTAGCGCGAAATTCCCGGAACACGGCGCGCACCATCGCCAGCCAATCTATTCCGCAGCATTTAATCCACACACGGCTATCATCTATCTGCAGGGTGTGATGCGCCGGTCGGCGCGATAGCACGTGTCGTGATTGTAGTTTATGGGGAGCTGATTGCGGGAGCGTGGGACGAGGCTGGCGGACGGTTGGCGAACGGTGGTCCCGGATAGTTGGACGCCATTCATCGGCGTACTTACACCGTATCCATCCTGGCGTCAGTGTTTCGTTTCGTAATCATTAAGATATGCATTATCCGCCTAATGACGGCAAAAGCGGCAAAAGGCGCAACAGCGTGTCCGATCCGGGATGACTCTCCACGGAGCGTCGAGGGCACGCGCATAAATTTCGCGTAAAAGAGTCCCTCTCTCTTTCTTCACGCGCACTTCGATGCTGATTAATGCGGATCGCGCGGATGCGACCGGGGCTCGCAATTAATTAGCCCCCGTGATCTTCGCGGAAAAGTTCCCGACGTCTGATTGACGTGGCGCTTAATGCGCGAGTCTTCACTCGGATAAATTAAATTGCCTTTCATATAATGCGCGATACTTATTCTTTTCGTTGTATACACGTTGACATTTGTAAACCGTATAAATAATAAATTTAATCGTCGAAACCTCATTATTTAAAGACGTCTTTATATACGCGGTGCATTTTAAATGTTACTTTCGCGCGATCAAACCAAATAATCGTCGCAGCCAATATACATCAGGCTGTATAACGCGTATATTAATGAAACGGCTGGGACCTAAGGAACCCATTGTGTCAGATTGCGATGCTCGTCCGAGCGAGTCCGCGCGGCTTTTCGGTCGATGTCCGAAGTGATTACACGCGAATCAGACGAGGTGGTTTCGTCGCGACGGGGAACCTGTCCGAAATGTCTAATGTCCCAAGAGGAAAGAAAGAAATGACTCGCCGCATGCGTTCTAGGTGTGTGATGTTTCACTGTTTTTTTTTTTCTCCAGCCTTTTTTCTGCGACGCAGGAAATTTCTTTCCCGTCGTCCTGCTTCTCGCACCGATGATCCTCGATTCTCACGCACGCGCGAACGATTTTTACGACATTAATTAAACGGAGATATAATGATATCGTCGCGATCGCGCGGCGATTACACGCGCCGTAATGTACGAGAGATTAAGGACAGAGAAAAGGAGCGTGTCCGTGCAGAATCCGTCGATTCTGCCGTTCCATTTTCCACCTTCGTCCCAGACGGAAGCCTCGCGACCGCGGTGGAATCCCGCGATTCAATTAAACGCACGATTACTCGACAAACGTAATTAATTTTAATTAACGATGCGCGCCGAATTGCGACCGCGGGAGCAGCGGACCTCTCTCTGTACCGCGCACGATCTCATTGGCGAGATCACGCGATGCGTGATGGCATCGAGGCGGTCGAGCGCAGGTTTCATGACAAGAGTGTCGACGGCCGCGGCATTCGTGTGAATCAAAGGGAGATTAGATAGCGTGAATTTATCGGGGTTCGCGTTTTTATGCCATTTTCTAGAATCGACGGTGAGTTCGAGTCTTATCGTCGCGGCGTATTGCTATCAAAACCTGTCATTAATTACTTAGCATTATTAAAGAGCGCAGAATGATTAATATAGGGATGTCAAATTTAATGTACTAGAAACATTAAATAGTAAGAAATATAAATATGATGTTTTCTAAGTCGGACAATAGAGCCAAAGAACGAAAAATTAATTATTCGGAACTGTATCTCAATTTGAGATCCCAAAGTTCCATATATAAATTAATCTCGAAACTTATACATATGGAGAAATAGGCGCGAAAAATATAGGTCCGAAAAGTCGCTGAAGCGGGAATCGAACCCGAATCTTTCACTTTCCGGGCGACTGCTCTTACCAACTAAGCTATTCAGACCCTTTCGTTCCTATATTTTTCATTTGCCTTTTTAGTAGATGTTAGTAAATACCGTGATTAGGCCAAGGCGTGAATAAACTTAGAAATAAATATTTTTATCGGCTCTCAATATAAAGAATATAAATATGATGTTTTCTAAGGCTCTATTGTCCGACTTAGAAAACATCATATTTATATTCCTTATATTGAGAGCCGATAAAAATATTTATTTCTGAGATTAAATAGTAAATTAAATTGTACATGTGCATGTTACAATAATTTTTATTATTTGAGAGTATAAAGTTAAAATTGTTTGAAAATTAATGAAATTATTATGACACGTGCAAACTTGGAGTATATGTATTAATTTTCAGATTAGAGAAATCAATGAAATTACTGATAAAAATATTTGAAAATATTCTTTATACTAAGACAATAATATAATCGTTACGTACAACAACGTACAATAACGTTAATGACTAGTGTGCAAGATAGTTATGACGGACAAGTAGAAAAGTCAATGATATTTCCGTCTTACATTTTGAAAAACCGCTTAATAAAAATGTACGCGTATCTTTCATGCTTTTATCATAATGCCAAGGTAAAAAATTCTAAAATCACATACATCCATTAATATTTTTTTCTAATTCCGCTTAGAGATCATATATCACCCAATCACATAAGATGGATCCAGTTTTTTGTATACCGTCGAGCCGAGCGCAATATGCGCATTCGAACGAAATCTTGATCTCTTTCCTGATCATAAACCGCGCGATCCGCATCGAATCCGCGAAGGAAATCGGCGCGGATCGGCCGCGAGAAGCTTGCGATCGCGCGATATCGATATCGCGAACCGCCGGGAGGGTAAGTCGCTCTCGAAAACTTCCTCGTCTCTCTCGTGGGAGATGGTGGTGGAAGGTTTCTGTTTCACAAGGCGGAGTTGGACGTGCGACCACCTCCGCCGTAGCAAAGTTACCTGGCAGGTGACCAATGCAGCATCACCGATAAAGCCATGAAAGAGAACGGCTGGGACCGTCGGCTAGTCGTTCTTCAAAGGGGCCCCAAGATGAAGGCGGAGCCTTCTTCTTTGGAGGCTTTCCTCCTTTCGTGCCTCCCTTTCGTTCCTTTGCGTGTTCTAGACGATCGCAACCGCAGGAACCGGCAGTTCGAGCCGAGACACCGTAGCCAACAGATCCGTCTCGTTTTGCCTCGGAACAAAAATAAGGAGGGTGCCGAACCCGTCTCGTTGCGTTTCTTTGCAATAGAAATCCTTTCGAATCGGTTGCCCTTGTTATTGGACACTATCTGTCATTATCGTTGGACAGGTCGATTGTGACACGCGACAAAGTGAGGATTCGGATTGTGATCGAGTGTAATCAGGACTCGGAATCGAGGAAAGTGAGGATCCTTGTTGTGGTGATGCTGCTGGTGAACAACGGAGAAAGAGGAAGATAAAAGAAGAGAAAGAAAGAAAAACGAAGAGGGAGATTTCTCCTGGAAACAGGAACGGCTAGATGGCAGTCAGCACTCTCAACATGGCACCCTATTTCACTGGATACCCCTTTCAAGGTAAGAATTGTATAATAATTATCAAGTTATCAGATGATAATTTGAGATCTTGAGATGGATCTATAATACAATACTAAGCAATACTTTGGTGCAAAGATTATATAAAAAATGTTTAAATAATTTTTGGATCATTTAAAGAAAGTATTTTCGCAACGCAAATTTTAAACATTTGGAAATTCTAAATAATTTGCCGATTTAATAGAATAATAAACACTATGTTCCTATTTCTCAATGTAATGATCCATGAAGTGAAATTATTATATTCATAATTGCCTGACATATAAAGATAAGAATTGCAGTAATTTGTTTTAACTGGTTGAAACAATTTCCTTTGAATTATTTCGACATTAAATGTCAGAATATATTTTCTAGCTTTATATAATTAGTTTTATATATGATACAAAAATTAATGGGAGATATTTATGTCTCTTTTGCCATCTTATTTTACGACAAATAAATTTTGTTGTATATTAATTAAATATACGATAGATTCCATAAATAATATAAATCTTTCAAAAGATGTGCATTCTCACCTAAGAATTTAATTTGACAACTTGTCCATTTTTAATGTAAAATACAGCTTTTCGGTAATTCTTTTTCGACAATGAATTTTACTAGTATTTAAAGAAATAATATATTTAAAGATATAAAAATTAATGGGAGATATTTATGTCTCTTTTGCCATCTTATTTTACGACAAATAAATTTTGTTTTATATTAATTAAATATACGATAGATTCCATAAATAATATAAATCTTTCAAAAGATGTGCATTCTCACCTAAGGATTTAATTTGACAACTTGTCCATTTTTAATGTAAAATAAAGCTTTTCGGTAATTCTTTTTCCGACAATGAATTTTACTAGTATTTAAAGAAACAAAAGTGGCGTTACTTCCGCTATTCGCAGAAACTCTTCCTCATAGGGAATCTCGCAATTAATGTCAGTGCGAGTTTCACAAGCGACGCTCGACGCCTGCCGGCGTCCTGTGCAACGGTGCCGCGGATATTTTACAACCGATGTTAATGGTTTTACGATGTGCGCTTTGACTGAATTATTCGCTGCCCGCCGGTGTAACTTTCAATAGCGCGACTTTCATCTCTGTAAATGCCCGTAACTGTCCGATCGATGATCCATCCGATCGATTAATTCGACCTGAAAATTATCACCGACAAAAAAAACTCACGTCCTTATGTAATCCGGATGTAAGGACTAATCTGTATATAGAAGCGTTTCGCAATGTAAACGCGTGGCGGGTATCGTCGACTAGAATGATTTAGAGGTCTGGAAAGAGAGAGAAATTGTGCATAAATAATCGTATACAGAAGCCCGCGTATGTCGTTCCGCATTGTGTAATTTATGATTTATGGAACAGTGCGTTACGCCGACGTATAAAACTTCAAGGGATGAAAGAACGGTCTATTGTGTTTCTTATGCATTTTAATTAAGATTGACGATTAAAGATTGACATTTTAACACTTTATAAAAAAGAAATATAATATATTATAATAAATCTTACCAATACTTTTACTCTTACCCTAATATACACAATATATATTCGCACATATATATTAATCTACTTATGTTGCTTTCCAACCCTTATCCCGATCTCGCAATTCAGAATATGAAATTTGCCTTTGCTTAATTCTTTCTGCACATACAACACAAGAGAGAGCTAATGACGGCAATAACAGTACTCTCCAGATGGCGAACGATCTATTCGGATCGCTTTCTCTCATGTGTGCCTTTAAATCACAATTGTTTATCCATCGTTTCGGAGCACGCGGAAGAGAAAGACAGAGAGAGAGGACGGTAATTCTCGAATAAAGTTCGATACACAAGTCGGCGCGTAGTGGGCGTCGGAACGTGGAAGAGAGTCCCGAGGAAAGATACGGTACCCGTGGGTACCTAATGTCTGATATCGGATGGGCCCCGGGCGACGGCACGTTGATTGAAGCCTTGGCGCGACTCGGAACTCACACCGCACGCTAAGTACATGCATCCCTTCGGTACATGCGGGTTACTCCCACTCAGGTACGCGCGTGTACCTTCCGCTCTCATCTTCCACCCATCCAGAGGGTCCCGCCTATAGTGACGATCGCCATACAGTCGTATCACGGCAGATTGCGTAATTGACGAAACGAACGGATCGTCGTCGCTCCGTGTCTGCCTGCTGAGAAATTAACCCTCGCTCTCGGAATTTTCCGCGTCGCAATTACTTATCGGTACCTTTTTCATTTTTACCTGACAAAATTATTATGCGATATGTAACAATAGCCGAACAAAGTGCTAGCTTTAACATTTATTGCGTGTACAATAATATTAATATGTCGATAATTTTTTTTTGCGATTTAAGCGGCGTATAAAAGATATATAGTGAAGCGTATATTTTTGACAGATTTTTCTCAAGTTTGCTCGAAAAATTATGAATCCGGTCACCGATAATCAAGAACGTCGGATAAAAAGCGTAACGCGGAATAGCTTGGAAATTATGTCGTAATTGGACGATGATCAGACTTATAAGTTAAAAGCCTTGAATAACAAATTCAGCGATGATATCTTATAATTCTCGAAAACGTTCCATCACGCGCTTCATCACGTAAAATTGGAGCGATCGCGTATCTCGTTCTTAATGAGATTCAATTAATACCCGGGATTACGTCGTTATTACTGTTTAAGAGCGATAAGCAACCGCGACAAGGGGATGGATTACCATAAAGAAAAATCTCGTAAAGAGCGTAATTGCATGGCTCGCGCGTAAACCGCGAATGTCGCGGCCGCAAAATACGGTGCGTCGGCTCTTCGCACGTAATAATTTATCGAGGCCGATGTACCGGAGAAAAAGGTTTAATTGAGGCCTGCGTCGGGTAATGAAACGCCCGTACCGCCCGGTCAATTATTTGGAAATTCTCTAGTGTTCGTCCGCGTCTATAACAGCACCCTCGATCGAGGTCGAGACGCTGCCTCGCAGGTAAATATTAATGATGCGCGACGCTTCGTCGGACGAATTCAGATCGGACGGATAGGGGTGGCCCTTTCATCGCGTCACACACGCGCGGATCGTGGACATTAAGTTTGATCGCTGACAATCAATCGCCCGTTATCAATAATTCATGCTGGAAATTATTTTTTTTTTTTCGACCACGTGTCTTCTCCTCCCCGACCTTCGTTTCAACAGGGTGGTCCTCTCAGCAAGGACCCTCGCGAAAATGACTGCCGCGATCGTGCTATAATAAATTACGTGAGGACGCATAAATCATTCACCCGCTGCTTATTGGATTAAATTGTCTTCTTGAGATAGGCATTTTTTTTATACCACCAAATTTAATACATTAAATGGAGAAATATAAATAAAAAAATATATTCTTTCGGCGTTTTCCTTTATATATTCGTATATCGGATCTACTCTATTTCACTATTTTCGAATCAAAGAAACTCGTTGTTCCGAAAGTCCCCCACGGAGATATAAATCACTTCGATTTCTCCGATCGAAAGAAAAATAAAACGTAGATTTTTGCAATCGATACCGAGACTAATGGCATGAAATGCGATGAGAAAGCGGCGCGTTTCGCAAGAACGCGTCGAACAATATTCATCGACGGATAGGGAACAAAAACGCGAGTAAAAGGGCTCGCTCGCACGCGTGGTGGTACATTCAACTTTCAATTCCGTGACTCGAGTTACGATCGTCGCAGTTCGTAAAAGTACAGAGTTCCACGCGCGAGTGCAACGATCGGTGCATATATCCATCATACGCGAAAGACGTTTGACACACGTGCGACGCGAAAACGAATGTACAGTAGCCTCTGCATTCCTGACATTCCCGTGTCACCGTGCGAATTCCTCAATAAGTGACTCTGTACAATCTTCAACGGATACCTTCGCGGAATATTGATAAGTTGCTTCCTTAACTGTCCTTAATCACCTATCTCTCTCATGTTTTTTTTTTTTTCATTTTTTCCTCGCTATTATCTGCAAAAATTGTTGAGAAAATGATTTTCTCTGTTACTCCTTGTCTCAAGTCTAGAAGGACCTCTCTAATCTTCTATTAAGCGTGCTAATTTCTCTTTGTTTGTATATATCTGTATGCTTAAATTTTGTCGCGCTAATTATCGCGTCTCCGACTTCAGTTTCCGATTTTGGAGTTCATCCAATTTATCCGAAATTCACGCTAGGATTATCCGCGGTGCTCGCGCGCCGAGAGCTCGTCGACGGCGGCGGCGGCGCCTTTTGATCTTGCCTGTAATCCCGTCGGGCCCCGCGGCCTGACTGACGTCATACACCGGAGAGGTGTCCGGCCGGGACCGTAACCCGGCCTATACACGACGGGCGCGTGTGGGAGTGTGTGCGTTGCACGCACTCGCGGATATGTCCTTACGAAGAGCGCGAGGGATCCCGGCGGGGAAGCGGGGGAGGAGGGGGATGTAAATCTCCGGGGCCCCGTGATGAACGACGAAACGGGACTACTTTTGTGCCGGAGTGGCTTGGACGCGCCCGGGAAGGGGGTCGTCTTTTGAATTACGCCGTGGTAATTAGCGGACTCTTAGGCTCCGCGCTCTCGCAGCAGGTAGCCGCCGAGAATATATCACGAACTTTGCCGCCGCGAGATCGCGAAAATGTTTGGGTTGCCGAGGATTCGCGACGCATCTCTTTCTCTCTTTCTCTTGAGCGCGACCTTCACGCGTCGTCTTGTCGTTGAAAAATCGTCGCGATAAGAAATTTACTCGGTTTGCAGAATTCTACAGAGAAATAAAATTGCTTGGGAAATTTTTTACAACTTGTATAACTGTTATTAACCTGACGCGATCTCCACTCGTCGTCTTGTTGTTGAAAAATCGTCGCGATAATCTAGGCATTTTTTGGTATTATTTTCTAAGAAATTTATTTGTTTAATAGAATTTGAGGAATCTTCAAAGAAATAAAATTGCTCGAAAATTGTTTACCATTTGTGTGACTATCATTATCCTAACGCGAGACTGATAAAATGATCACCTATGAATAAAATATAAATTAATAATACAGTATATTAAAAAAATGATATTTTATCGAGAAACAGAATCCAAAGTTTGATTTCATATTTATTATTTTATTACCAAGAAAAATATGCAGTCAGATCTCTGGACCAGAGCAGATCACATAAGTTGCCCGCGCCTATGAAAAATCGTCGCGATAATCTAGGCATTTTTTGGCATTATTTTCTAAGAAATTTACTTGTTTAATAGAATTTGAGGAATCTTCAAAGAAATAAAATTGCTCGAAAAATTGTTTACCATTTGTGTGACTATCATTATCCTAACGCGAGACTGATAAAATGATCACCTATGAATAAAATCTGAATTAATAATACAGTATATTAAAAAAATGATATTTTATCGAGAAACAGAATCCAAAGTTTGATTTCATACTTATTATTTTATTACTAAGAAAAATATGCAGTCAGATCTCTGGACTAGAGCAGATCACATAAGTTGCCCGCGCCTCTGAAAAATCGTCGCGATAATCTAGGCATTTTTTGGCATTATTTTCTAAGAAATTTACTTGTTTAATAGAATTTGAGGAATCTTCAAGGAAATAAAATTGCTCGAAAAATTGTTTACCACTTGTGTGACTATCATTATCCTAACGCGAGACTGATAAAATGATCACCTATGAATAAAATCTGAATTAGTAATACAGTATATTAAAAAAATGATATTTTATCGAGAAACAGAATCCAAAGTTTGATTTCATATTTATTATTTTATTACCAAGAAAAATATGCAGTCAGATCTCTGGACCAGAGCAGATCACATAAGTTGCCCGCGCCTCTGAAAAATCGTCGCGATAATCTAGGCATTTTTTGGCATTATTTTCTAAGAAATTTACTTGTTTAATAGAATTTGAGGAATCTTCAAAGAAATAAAATTGCTCGAAAAATTGTTTACCACTTGTGTGACTATCATTATCCTAACGCGAGACTGATAAAATGATCACCTATGAATAAAATATAAATTAATAATACAGTATATTAAAAAAATGATATTTTATCGAGAAACAGAATCCAAAGTTTGATTTCATATTTATTATTTTATTACCAAGAAAAATATGCAGTCAGATCTCTGGACCAGAGCAGATCACATAAGTTGCCCGCGCCTATGAAAAATCGTCGCGATAATCTAGGCATTTTTTGGCATTATTTTCTAAGAAATTTACTTGTTTAATAGAATTTGAGGAATCTTCAAAGAAATAAAATTGCTCGAAAAATTGTTTACCATTTGTGTGACTATCATTATCCTAACGCGAGACTGATAAAATGATCACCTATGAATAAAATCTGAATTAATAATACAGTATATTAAAAAAATGATATTTTATCGAGAAACAGAATCCAAAGTTTGATTTCATACTTATTATTTTATTACTAAGAAAAATATGCAGTCAGATCTCTGGACTAGAGCAGATCACATAAGTTGCCCGCGCCTCTGAAAAATCGTCGCGATAATCTAGGCATTTTTTGGCATTATTTTCTAAGAAATTTACTTGTTTAATAGAATTTGAGGAATCTTCAAGGAAATAAAATTGCTCGAAAAATTGTTTACCACTTGTGTGACTATCATTATCCTAACGCGAGACTGATAAAATGATCACCTATGAATAAAATCTGAATTAGTAATACAGTATATTAAAAAAATGATATTTTATCGAGAAACAGAATCCAAAGTTTGATTTCATATTTATTATTTTATTACCAAGAAAAATATGCAGTCAGATCTCTGGACCAGAGCAGATCACATAAGTTGCCCGCGCCTCTGAAAAATCGTCGCGATAATCTAGGCATTTTTTGGCATTATTTTCTAAGAAATTTACTTGTTTAATAGAATTTGAGGAATCTTCAAAGAAATAAAATTGCTCGAAAAATTGTTTACCACTTGTGTGACTATCATTATCCTAACGCGAGACTGATAAAATGATCACCTATGAATAAAATCTGAATTAGTAATACAGTATATTAAAAAAATGATATTTTATCGAGAAACAGAATCCAAAGTTTGATTTCATATTTATTATTTTATTACCAAGAAAAATATGCAGTCAGATCTCTGGACCAGAGCAGATCACATAAGTTGCCCGCGCCTCTTCTCGAAGAGCGTGTCTCTTATGCAAAACTTCCTTTATGTAAATACGTACAAACGTAGAGAATACGGGGCCGTGCCCCTGGTTGTCGAGGCCCCTCATTGTCGCCGCGTGAGAGAGCGCTTTTAAGGCTCTCCGAGTTTTAAGATCGCCTTCGTCTTCGTCCGCAGCTTTTACTGCTCCGCGCAAAACCAGGGCCGTAACTCGTGACGCGTCCTGCTTTCGTGGTTTTCTGAAGCACGCGAGGTCCAGCCTCTCTCTCTCTCGACTCCGTCGCGTGTAACGCCGTTTGTTTGACTTCGTGATTATAATTAAGTTAATTAAGGGGGATGGACTAATTACCGATAATTAGCGGCGTTTGAGCGGCACCTCGCGTGTCGCCGCGCTTTGTCTCGCTAAGCGGTCCCTCTTTTGCGCGAGTTTACTTCCCTCTGTTCTTCTTCCTCTTCTTCTTCTTCTTCTTCTCACTTTTGTCCGTCTCCACTTATTCTCATTTATTTCGAGAAAAATGGCCGCGCCACATTTGTGCACACTGCATACCGTGCATTGTATATCAGCGGCGAGAAAAAACACGCTATTTTTCCTCGACTGCGTTTCTATCCAATGTACATGGTGATTTTTCCTTTTTGTCTCGAGTACAGCTGCTACATATTTAGCTTCGTATATGTTAATGGCGCTAATTGTTTTATAAAGTAAGAGAGAGAGAGAGGAGGAGAAACTTATTGTATACTACGCCGGAAAATTATGCCTTTCAAAGTAGTGACTCTGATCTACGTGATTTTCGTTTGAAGTTTCCGACACTGCGCAATCTCGTGACAAATTCTTACCTACTTCATTATTAATTCCGCACACTGAAAAAAAATTTTGTTGGATTAACAAAAATTCTGTTCGAAAATGGACGAAACGGAATTACTGGTTGAATCTACCAGAATTTCTTTTAATACAACAAATATCTTGTTTGCACCAATAAACTGATTTGTTGTACAAACAAGATGCTTGTTGCATTAAAAGGAATTCTGGTAGATTCAACCAGTAATTCCGTTTCGTCCATTTTCAAACAGAATTTTTGTTAACCCAACAAAATTTTTTTTCCAGTGCATAACTCGTGACTTGTAAATATTACATTTGATGATTCCAATGTGTAAACGAATTGCGTTATCATTTTTGGTATTTTTTGCAGGGCAGGGTCGCGTGAACCAGCTGGGTGGTGTGTTCATCAACGGCCGTCCATTACCGAATCATATTCGTTTGAAGATCGTCGAGATGGCAGCGGCCGGTGTCAGACCGTGCGTCATATCGAGACAGCTGAGAGTGTCTCACGGATGCGTATCTAAAATCCTGAACCGGTATCAGGAAACGGGATCGATCAGACCCGGCGTGATCGGCGGCAGCAAACCGCGAGTAGCTACGCCGGAAGTCGAGGCGAGGATCGAGGATCTCAAACGGCAAAATCCTGGCATCTTCAGCTGGGAGATACGGGAGAAATTGATAAAGGTCCGTTGATATCGCCCGTGTTATTGCGCTTGCATTATCAATACGCAATTAATCAATCATTTTGAGGTAAGAAAGGAAAGATGAGTGTCAAAAAGGGAAAAATAAGATATCCCTTTTGATAGAAATAAATATGACGAAATTCAAATAAGAATATTACGTAGGTAGACACATAAATGTTGATATCGCCCGTGTTATTGCACTTGCATTATTAATACGAAATTAATAAATTATTTTGAGGTAAGAAAGAAAAGATGAGTTTCAAAAAAGGGAAAAATAAGATATCCCTTTTGATAGAAATAAATATGACGAAATTCAAATAAGAATATTACGTAGGTAGACACATAAATGTTGATATCGCCCGTGTTATTGCACTTGCATTATTAATACGAAATTAATCAATCATTTTGAGGTAAGAAAGGAAAGATGAGTGTCAAAAAAGGGAAAAATAAGATATCCCTTTTGATAGAAATAAATATGACGAAATCCAAATAAGAATATTACGTAGGTAGACACGTAAATGTTTTTTTGACAGCTTTTAATATATGTCTCTTTACGCGATAATCTGATATATTCATTATTTTTCTGAAAAAAATGCGAGTAATGACATTTAAAAATTTATCGAATAAATGTAGAAAAATTATACTAACTAGTCCAACGCGGTTCTGCCAGCAGGATGGAGTCTGCGACAAAGCCTCGGCACCGTCTGTCTCCAGCATCACCAGACTTTTACGTGGACCAGCCAATCAAACTCGCCCCAACGACGATCCACGCAGGAATCATTCCATCGACGGCATTCTCGGTGAGTTTTAATCAATAATATTTACAATTATCGAGCTATCAAGATTTTCGACGCGATTAAAATCACTGCGCTTTCTTTGTCGAGAGATTTTCAAGTGCGATATCCGCGATACATCTCTCGTCATTTTAACACCGCATAAACCACGAAGCGAACATAAAATGCAGCATCCAGGGTTAATCGAGCGATAAGCGTAATTATATAGCGTAGCCGTGATGTTAAGTTAATTAAAGCAAGGTGACCGTATCTCGTCTGCTCGCTGAATTCGAAATGCGACTCGATATTTTCCCCATACTTGCGCATCAAAAAGTGGTTATCGTTTCATTTAAAATTTCTATTAATCGTATAATAAAAATTTCAATTATTGACTACACAGAAGGATTTTATTATGTAACTACTTTTCAATATGCTGTTATATTAGTAGCTTATTTAGTACATGTGTTAAATATTATGTGAATCTTTTTCTTTCTGTCTGCAATATATGTATGTACATGTGTTTGTACACGAGGGTTCTGCTTATTGAAGTATCCAGCAGTTTTGTAGGCACGCCGGGATTGGTAGAAATATAGGTCTGGTCGGCGAACATGTAAAGGGGAATTCCTTTCGTTTTTATTTATTACCGGCGGTAAGGGGCGCGAAGAAATATTAGGCGTCCCGTGGCGCGTAGATGTGTCGAGTTTATTACCTTGTCGGGAAGATTTAGTTTTGATTAGACGTATGCTCGAGATTGCAACTTCGCGCAAGGATTCACGAGGGTACTCGACCTGTTGCTTCTGTCGCTTCTTGACCAATCTTTTCATGCTGTTGCGAAAGCAGTAATCTTCGTTCCCGTTTTTCGACATTATCTGTATTATAACTTGATGCTTTCGCTGCGATAGATTCGATTACAAATATTGCGATAACACAAATATGTAATTTTCAATAAAAATATAAATAACCGAAAAGTTTGAAATAGCGAATACATTAAAGAGAAAATATTTATTTTTTCGTTTCAAAAGGCGATTATACGTTTTAAATGATCAAAGGGATTTATACCGATTTATTAATGATGATATTTGACAAGAATGATTTTATTGAGACGAGATGTTAAAATAAGATTATCAAAAAGTATCGATTCGATTGAATGCTTCGATAAAATTTTCGAAGCATATACAAAGATCTTTTTTGTGTGCCACGTTTGCAAGCTGGGTAAATTATGTATTATAATTCGAACAAAGGGGAAAACAAGAAGAGAGTCCGACACTGTTCCCATCGCTAATGTACCGCCGCGAAAGGAGAGGAAACGAAGACGAAGAAGAAGAAGAATAAGCAGAGGGAGACGAGATCTTTTTGAATACGCGTCTCGGACGTAGAATCCGCGTTTCTTTTTATTCGATCGTAGTGTAATGATTTAGCACCAAAGTATCAGGAATGTATTTGCTCGGTTTATGACATGGCCTATGGATGGTGAGGATCCAAGGACGAGAAGAAAAAGTGAGACAACTTGATGCATTAATGCGATTATAATACGTAGACACATCATCGTAATCAAGAATGTTAATGAATATTTTCCTCGAAGATGTTTCTAAAAATCTTTTACCTAGTGTGTTTGAAATAGATCATTTAATTTGTTATTAATATTTTTATTGCTATTCTAATTCTAACATTTATTAATCACTTCTTTCAAGATGGGAGTCATAGATTAATAGAATATAAATAATAAGAATTAGACATTAAATTGCGACAATTAGAAATAACAAACAATCTAGTAGATCAACTACATGATGAAATGAACGCGTGTAGGAATCCAAAAAGGATCTCACACAAATACACACTCCAATCATTTCGCCCTACATCATTCATCTTCCATATTCCTCTCTCTCCTCTTGTCGCAACATCAGTCCCAGAACGCAAGATCACTCAGCAGTTCCAGTAGCCAAGAACACGCGCGATAAATAACCTCGCGGTCTGTCCCTCGGTAAAAGAAATCGGGAGGAACGATCGGGACACAAGAAAGAGGGACAGATCGGCCGTGTGGCGAGTGTAAAAGAGGGAGACGTCAGGTGGAACAGAGTCGGACGTACGTGAAAGAAGAAATCAGGTGGAACGGTCAAAGGGAGGGAGTAGTCGGAGCCGAGAAGAAGAAACGAGACGACGAGGATGTTGAAGGCTCCTGCGTAGACGCAAGCAAGATGGAGGAACTACGCGCACGCGGCGTGTGGTCTTCTTCTTCGGTCTTCGTGGCCGCCGCCTGCCTCTAATCTTACAAACCGCCAACAACACACCCCATTTTGTTCGCGGAACACAAGGGCACCCTCTCTATTGATTTAGATGCTCTTACTGCGGGGCAAAGCCGTGATTGAGACCTCCGACCATTCATTGGCCGCGTTCGAGAGGCCAGGTTGCCTTGCCTGGCTATCTCACGATAGTAATTATTTAACATCAGCTTTTCCCGCGGATGTTTATCTCGACGTTTTTCGAGGAACGACTCGATCCCCTGCTTTTCGCGATTGCTATTCTATCTAAAGTCGATCTAAGAGTGACGAGGTATATAATTACGCAGATATGCACAAACGTTTTTTATTTCGACTACTTTCGCTATAAGCGCGCCGTTAAATTATTTTATTTATTTCTTGTACTAATTTTATAAATATTATTCTCTTTAAAATAATATTCAAGTTAATTTTTATACATTTTATTATTAGAATAAATACAACAGTATTTTAATTTATGCAAATAAATTTTCTTAAAATATTAGTATACGTATGCTAATGTTAAATTTTATTTGTGTGAAAGAACTACTAGATAATCGCGCGCGCGCGCAATCTTTTTTTTTAAATATATGCGTTCGGTTCCCATGTATCGACGGGCGTTGATAGCTCGCCGAAAGCGTTAAGATCTCGAAAAAAATCATTAGGTATGCTCCTCAAAGCGCTGCGACGATTTACGAGCGCGCGATGCTCTTTAATCTGACGAAAACCGCCATACACTTTGTGGTTCTCGAATTCTGGCTGATGTTCGCGCAGGTGCTATTGATTTAGACGTCCTGTCGGTTGATCGATTTAATCGGTAAATAAATTCATAAATTATGCAATATATTGCAAAAATGAAGGCTTCAACGCTTGAGATACCTTGATACGTTCAAACTTTACATTGCATATATTATAATAAATGATGTGCACCACAATTTATGAAAAAAAACTATATCCTCGGAAAGAAACTTGATCGTCAAATAAAATAATAAATAATTGATAAACACTGTTAGTTGAACTTTGGACAAATGAAAAAAAGACAGTAAACAGAAATGAAATAATTCGTGACTCTTTTCAACAGTCGAAGTAGTTATTAACGATGTAGGTATTGAGGTCAACGTAACAGGGACCGTGGAGAACAAATCGGGCTCTGAAAGGGTTACAAATCAAACTCGAAATTCCATAAATAGTGTCTCGTGGGAGCAGACAACGATTCTTCTTTAGGAACTCTCCACGGGCTTTCGTTTAGCTCGGGTGGGACGGGACATGTCAAAGAACTTAATTTCTTCGCGGCGGACCCTAATTTCTCCGGTGTTTTAGTTTAGTATAGGTTCGGCTGGGCACGGCTGTAATCAGTAGGGTCTTAATGGTGGGTTGCTGAGACCGGCGTGTGAACTGTGGGCGTGAACGACTCGCTTCCTATCTTCGGTATCTGACGTGCAGCACGTGCTGGATCGAGAGATGCTCTCGCCGCTATTAAAGAACGCTCGCGTCTCTCATCTCGAGAGCCATCGATGATGTTTAATGTCAGTTCCGAGTAGAGAACTTGTGTTTTCTGTTAATACATCCCATTTTGGCAAACGAGGAGAGAAAAGTGAATTTAATCCTGAGACAAATTCGTTAATAATGGATGATCTTTAGAAAATTAAGTATTTTTATTTTGACATGTAATATTTTCAATGACACCATACTCAAGTGACATCATTATTGTTGATTATATTTTTAGCAGGAAGCAGTGGCGACGACTCTGACACGGAAAGCGAACCTGGCATCGCGTTAAAGAGGAAACAACGCAGGAGTAGGACTACCTTTACTGGTGAACAACTGGAGCAACTGGAAGCAGCTTTTCATCGCACGCAATATCCTGACGTGTATACCAGAGAAGAACTCGCACAAAAGTGAGTTTCAGAAAAATATTATATCTAGATTTCATCAAAATTTTTACACATTTGAAGATATAAATAAATCATGCAAATAAAAAATAGCATCGAATTAATTATTAAATTAAATGTTAGAATGTTAGATTTATATATTAATATATCAAATTAATTATTGATTATTAAAACAACTCAAACTTAAATTTACATTTGTAATATTGATCACAGAGAGTCGAAAAATTGAAATGTAGTTTTATCGTTTCATAATAGGCACTATATATTTATATCTTTATTAATAATCGCGAATGTTTTTTTTTCTTTGCAGAACGAAGCTGACAGAAGCGCGAGTGCAGGTCTGGTTTAGCAATAGACGCGCCAGACTTCGCAAACAGCTCAATACCCAACAGCTGAACGCTTTCAACGCCATGAGTTTACAATCCTTCCAAACTCAACATTACGGCAGTGGTGCTGAGAGCTATCAGAGCTATGGACAGACGAGCGTTGCTGCTGCTGCAGCAACCACCGCGAATTACCCTCAGCATTACAACTATGGGGATAATTATTATACAGCCCAGCAGCAATGGCCACGGACGACTCCGGACAATTATGGGTGAGTTTCGATGTAATATATTTTTTATTCTAGAAATTTTAATTATACAGATCTAAGTCAATCACAAATTTTTGACAGCTATTATTGTTACTGTTCACGACTTTCAATTTTCTTGGCAATTAATTATCAACAATTTTTTCCAAAAATTTGATTTTAGTTAACATTTAATTTTATAATTTACGTTCGCAAAAAACAATAAAATTATTCATTTTTTGAACAACCCGAAATGATATGGAAATGATCGAACGCGACGCCTCTCATCCGCGAACACCCCCGTAAAGATTATTCGCGATCGAACGTCGCTATCTCGCGATGCTGCCACGATCGGTTAAAGCTAGATCACGGCGCAGGTACATACACCCTATGCCGAAGGATCAAGACCCGGGTTGGATTATTAGCCGGTAGCGTTTCATTATGGAGGCCCAAGAAGCAACATAATTGAGGACCACACAGAAAACGTGTCGGTGGGGCCCTGTTGGCTCTCTCTCTCTCACTCCTCTCGTTTCCTTGTTTTCTCTCCACTCTCTCCGTATCTTCTTCTCTCACTCTTTCTTTCTTCTTCTCTGTTCCCCTATCTGCTAGAGTGAACCGACTCGTCCGTTCGGCGTGTAACAACACACTGTAGCAACACGGCCATCGGAGCAACCTGTTATTACGCCACAATAGCTGAATTAATTGTTCGAAACACCCCGGTTTCGCTGTCTTTATCTTCGCGCGCGCCTCTTTCTCGCTTCCTCTGCTTTTCAAGCTTTCTGTCTCACTTGGACACCTGTACAATCGCTACCGTTAACTTATATACATTTCCTGTGCCCAACCATCACGTGATATACGCAGCATCCGCTGGTTTTAAATATCCGAACTTATGGACCCCCAGTGAAGTGTCAACTTACCACGTGGGAGGTGCCTTTTATAGTCAGACAATGATTTTCATTTTTGTCATTTCACGTTTAAGCAATGCGGAAACTGCAGACTGTTATAAAATAACCATGAGTCATATCAATGCATTTCTTAGCAGAAGAAAGAAGACAAGTCTTGAAACTCACTCGAAAATATTATTCGGTTAAAATCGAAGAAAACGTAATCATGAATTCCGTTAATAATGTATTTTTTTTTAAAGAGTCGACTTTCAGAATTTACTTTAGATAAATGTTGAGAAGTAATAGAGCGAATCATTTTAATTAATAATTAATTAATATTTTTTAATAGAAAGAAGAGAAGATGAATTTTAATATACTGAGAAACGATAATTTATAAAGTAAATTTAGTATTTTTAAATAATTTATCTCTCTTTTTCTCTTAAAGAAACTTACAATCATTTTATCCTTAAATGAAGTATGCAAGTTCTATATTTTATTTGATGACGAATTTTAATTCCAAAATTACAGGTTCTAAATAGATTATAGACTTGATCACTATTAAATTTCTAAGAATTCGTTAACACGTCTATAGAAAAAATTTAATTTATGAGAGAGGAGAGAGATATTCTTCCGCATGAATATAGATTCGTAGAAGGATTCGTAGATAGATTGTGCACGAAGTATAGTCGATAAATCGCTGCTTCCGCTAGAAAACGTCGCCTTACCTTTTAAATAGAAAAAGAAAAAATATCGAAAAGATTTACAGTGTGCTTAACCGTAGTCATTCAAAGTATCAACTGCGCTTTGCAATCGTATATTATCGATATATCAATATATTAATTTGAGTTTATTTTAATTAAAAAGAGATTTTGGCGATTCTCTTTTAATTTAATTTTTTATATCAACTATTTTTTTCATATATCGTTGACGCGTTTATCATGTATGTATGTTCTAGTATCGTTTGTGTCATAAAAAATATGCATCCATTTGTATGTTTTTGAAACGTATTAAATAAAACATACACGATGTGCTCCTGGTTCTCCACGTTTTTGCATTTATGAATATTAAAATAATTACAATAATCTCTTTGGTTTGAAATTTAAGAAATGACTAAATATGCTAATAAAAGCAAAAGAGAGGACGAAGCTTGATCCCTCACGAGACACGATCCGAGATCCTTAATCACGGTGGTGTACCGAAATGCTCAAAGGGCCGCGACGGTGTTTGGAAATCGGCCGCTGCCGCCCTCGACACGCCCTAACCGATTCGCAGTGCGTGTGTTAGCGGTATCGCCTTGCAAACGGCGGTAACCACTTTGAAAACCACGAGGGAATTTCATTTTCGTATTACCGCGTGTGGACACCTTTCACCATTGTAACTGCAACTCATTTCATCGGATCCCACGTAGTCGTTTATTTTTTTTTGTACGCATACAATAGTTAATTTATATTCAATATATCGATCGGAGAAGGATAATTACAAATATCGGTGAATAATATATTCCTTTAACCGATCAGTATCTATGACTCGTGAGAATCTACCTTTGTTCGTCGATATTTAATTAGTATAATGTCATATTCACACACACAAATTCATGATTTTAATAAATCTGTCTAATGAAGAATCTTTTCCACATTTCTTAAAAATTAAAACTAAATGTTTCATATTTATTTTTTTCTTCTTATATATTATTAGTAGAAATATGTATTATATAGTTAATAAAATGTAAATAATATTTTTAAATTACACTGATCAACATTTTTCGACTCATTTTATGTCACAAAAGGAATGACAGATGATTTCGATAGGATTTTTCATATAATAGGATTTTGCATATAATTTTTGTAAAACTAAGTAATCAAACGACAAATAAATCAGCGATATCCATCTTATTATATCATCATCTATTTTTCTGTATATAAATGTTCGACATTCTCTTTTCATATTGTAGATTATTCAACGCTTCTCATTACGGCAGCAGCAATCTCGCCTCCAATCTGACTTCCACCAATCTCAGTCTAGGCAGTCTGGGTAGCGTCAGTCCAACTGCGTCAAATATGAGTGCCTGCATGGTGCAAGGTGGTGCATCTTCCTCCGGAGTGCCAGTCTCGACGGGGATGACACCTCACGTGACACCACACAGCCCTAGCGAGGCGAAGAGTGGATATCCTTACTTGGGCGGCATCGATTCTCAGGTTTGTGGAAGAGTTCATTGAATTAAGTTTGTTACAAGGAGCGATCAAATTGATTGCACGCAACTACACTTGCAAATGCATCACGAAAGATATAGCTCCCGAGAAGTCGCTTCATCGTTATTGTTATTTATCTTATTTGTTTCTTAAGCAAATTTCAGCAATTAAATTGCGTAAAAGAAAATTGCAATTGTGTAAAAATATTTATGCGCGAAAACATTTCTGTGTTCACGTAATGAAATGCGAAAAATACGTTTTTCTTCTCTTTTTTTGTTGTTAAGTTATTATTAATTTTTATATTATTATAACGTTGTTACTTCAAAATAATGAAAATCTGAAGAATTGACGATTATTCTTTTACCGACGACTTTTTAACGAAAAATATTGCACGTCATTTCTGAAATCATATATAAAAAATATCACTTGTGTAATATATAATTTCTAGTTTAATTAAATGTAAAATGTATGTGTTACATAGAGCGTTCGGAATTTGGAGATTTTTTATTTATAAATATATGTACTAAGTATAATCTTTATATGCAATCGATTGTGTATAAATATTTTATAATCGCTTAGTATCGCTAGATGATACGTTCAAACTTTTCCGCTTTGATACTATTGCATATTTATAATAGAGTGTAAAACATACTTTAATTAATTGTAGATTCATAGATGTAAGTCGCACACTGATTTCTAAAACGTGTCGTAATTTAACGCAAAGATTTATTTAAAGATTTAGAGCGATCAGCACTTACGAGCAATAAGTTGTTTGCAACAACAATGCCTTCGAAAATGCTTTATCACTTTAGAATTATTTTATTATTGTAACGATATAATAATAAATACATCTATATATATATTTAGATATAACTCGAATATATTTTACGGATAATGCTGTACATACACGTATTAGATAGTAGTAGTACGAAGCGTAGAAAAGTTACTTACAAACAGATTCTTAACGAACAACATGATGATTTTATCCAAACAGTTTATCTAATTGGCCAGTTGCATAAGTTTATTGTATATAAAACGCAAAGTGTTTCACCGACGCAACAGATATATCTGACTTGTATTGTTACATATAATAAATGGATTTTATGAAAAATTTACTATGTTTTTAATATATTGTTTTTCAACAAACATTTGGCTTGCCAGGTAAGTGCACATTTATTTAACAAATTTATTAATTAGAGATATATCAATTTTCTCTATTATCATGTTTTCATTCATTTTATCAAGGAAAAATAATGATCTCTCAATGATCAAGATATTTAAAAAATATTCCAAAAAAGATGATCAGCTTAAAAAAAAGCAACGCGTACATAATTCGCGATTGGTCTTGAATCGTGAGACCTGTCTCCTGGTTTTAAGCCGCCTCCGCGAACCATCGTTGATCACGAAGTCCACAGTTAGGAGACAATACGCGACCGGTGGAGGGACACCGCAGGGTTTTACAGACCTCGAAGAGCCGACAATCGGACGCATAGTGACACAACGAGCAATCAGCTTGCCGTATATCTACGGGTCCTGTCGCCACGCATTTGTGCCCCATTGTGTCAACGAAGTAGGTGGTCGGTGTCTCTCTCTTTCTCTCGCCCTCTCTCTCTTTCTTGGTATCCGTCTTCAGAATTCTAACACAAAGTATCTTCACATAAGGACTCGGCCTATCGACCTTCTTTTGATTTCAACCCTTCGAAGCTCATAAGCACGTTCACGGATATAATTTCTGCTTGCTCGATTTATTTAGAGAAACATTTGTATTACGAGTGCGTTTATTATATTATACTCTTTATTTATGTCATTATTTCAGTATGAAGTTATGAAATTATTTGCAATGAATTTACTAATCATATATATATATTATATTATATTATGCGAATATATTCCAAATATGCTCTATAATAATATATATATATATTATTATAGAGCATATTTGGAATATATTCGCATAATATAATATATAATATATATATGCTCTATAATATATATATATATATATATATATATATATATATATTATTATAGAGCATATTTGGAATATATTCGCATAAACTAAACGCGTAGCAATAATTTTGTTTTCAATTTCTTCCGTTTTTCTTTATTTCAATCATCGTAAATTTATATAGCGAAGAAACTCAAATTTCAAAAGAGATATATTAAAAGTCGTTTGGAAAAAAACCCAAGATCTGTCTCACGATACTTTCTCTGGACCTCACATATCGTTTACCTGCCTCCATGATTCGCTATTCAATCCATGATCCCCGCCCATATTGCAACCCCTATATAAGAGTGGTTCGGGGGTTGTTCCACACAAGAGCGGCTCCTTTGAAACTCGCCTTCCTCTCTTTCTCATCACCAATCCCACCGAATATCTTCCCCCAATATGTTACTCTCAAATTGTTCTGGTCTTAATGGCGATGTGGTAGGTCAAGAATTGGCATAAAAAGAACATGATCGCGTATTGTCATAAGAATCGTAAAATAGAATGCAACATTTTATTGTCAATATGTTTTAATAATTTTTTATATTTCGTCTCTCTTTTAATTAAAAATATATTCGCAAAATAAACATCAAACATCGTCTCTTTTGCAAGAGATAATATTAAATATATATAAGAAAAAATTATTTTTTAAAAACATTTTCGAAGAACGACAAAATATGATATTAAATAAATATTAATCACAAGGGATGATAATTTTCTCACAAACGATATGCGGAAGTTTAAGCCGAAAAACATATCGTAAGTTGCACAATTGTGTCTTGCAATAATTTATTATAAATAATTCCATAGATATTCTCTTTTATTTGTTAAATTTTGTTGAGAATTTTACCACGTTTATAATAGTTTCTTAAGCATACCGGTTCTTACTCTTCACTACATTTTTCAACACGATAACCAGAACAGATGTACCGGCAACTGCAAAGCTGATAAGTGTGACGACCTCCCAGACTCACCCTCACGATAGAAATCTAAGGGTGTCGTTACAGCCAATGCGTGCGTGCGTGCGCGTACGTTGCGTGACTTCGGTCTATATTCATCACGATACATATCCGAAACATATACGATGTAAAGTTACACTTTATATAGGTATGTAAAATAGCTAACGCAATTTTTTTTGCAGATTCATCCTAAACGCGCGAGATAATTCGTATTTCCATATAATCTTATCACAAATTATCATTCATAATTTTTTGGATATTAAGCGCTTACTTAACTTTGTCAAGTAAGAAAATATACTGATACAAAATGTTTTTAACATCTTGTAGTTTATTTCTAAAAAAGCATATATGTAATTCGGAAGCTAGGCTAATTTACGATGCAAACTTTCACTTTAAAATTGCTTCACATCATTGTCTAAGATTTTTTAATGACCAGCGTCTTAAAGTCGTAATTTCGAAAATCAATTTATAGTTTTATTTCTTACGCATTTCTGTAAATAAAAAAATATGTTGTCAACCATATATAGAGGTTCTTTCATGTGTATTCAATGATTGCAATTTTTTGATATGTGTGTCTGTATCTACATATGTCTGATTCGTTTCTTTTGACAACTTGTCATTATTTTTTTTTTTTTATAAATTTGCTTCGCAAAAACGAAACATCGACTACCGTTGAAGGGGAAGGGAGAAATAAAATTGGACAAGCGAAAAACACACACGGAACCAGTTCACGCGGACATGATGGCTGCTCGCCCTTAATGGCAATGCAGCCCCCCCATGCGATGCGTCGTCGGCCCTTTTCAACCAATGGGATTGCCTGCCGTGTTTCGAACAATGGTTTGCGCCCGAATAGATTAATCAAACTTAACCGAGCCAATGAAAGCCGTGCAAATCCCGCGTGGGGGATGCATGCGTGCGTGCTGCCCGTTCGTGCGACTGTAAACGAGCAGTTGCACGCTCGCCCATTGCATCCTAGCGAGATCATGTCCGGGAATTATGGGAATATATCGTGCAATGAGGCCGCCGGCATCATGGTGTTGCGAATTTAACGACGATCTCGAATCGGCGGCGTTCAACAATGTCGGAGAGGATCTTTGATACGCCGATCTTTGTTGAGGTCATTCACAAAATTCGAAATGATTCTCTCAACGAGATGACACCCGTTGCATCTAGAACCTAGAGTGGCTAAGCAAAGGAAACAATATTTTTATTTATTATAATAATAATTAACTTTAAAGAGTTATCAAAAAATTGATTTTAGCTATCACATATAATAATATATATTTTGAAAGTACCAACATCTTTTATTTATCTACAGATTTTTTTATATATTCTACATAACTATATATTAATTGTAATTAGGACAAACATTAATGATAATGATATATGATAAAAAAGTATTGTAAAAGGATGCGATAAACATCTCTTTATTAAACAAGTTAACTAAAATTTATTGTTAAAACACACGCTTATACGCGAAGATATTTTGGAGTGTTTTCTGCTAATTCTCTCATTGAAATAATAAATTAGTAAAAATTATAACGCTCTTATATATTGAAATAAAATTGTAAAATTAATGTAAGTACAGGCCAACTCAAGAGCATAAATTATTAAGGTGTTAATGAATATTATAAATTTTTATTACTTCCCAATTTATCATATAAAAACAATTAAAAACATATTAATACAATTAAATCAAACGTTTCGACTGTACGCAGTCTTCATCTCAGTGGAGTTATATAATATTAGTCAATTATAAAATTTGAAAAAAACATTTCGACAATGCTAACGATTACAATTCATACTGTTGATTATAATCATATATAAAAATAACACTTGGTTGATGCGAATTTTTTTCTCTCATTGATTTTTTAACTGTACCAAAGAATTTACAGAAATTATCTCTGCGAATTCTTTCGCTTTTTTGACTACCAAAATATATATATTTATAAAAGAAAGAATAAAAAGATGACAAAATTTGCAACGACAAACGTTCGACTAACTTTAACTTCCGAGATATATTTTAACGTATTTCAAAATGGCATCGAGAGGGCATGTGAAGAGCATAAAAAGCAGGAGGAGGGAGATTTTTCGGGGGCCGCTACTGTAAACCAGGGCCTTGATGAATGAATCGGGGCTTCATGCCGCTTCGATCGGCGTTACCCACATGGCAGCTGGCTACGCCGCGCTGATTGGTCGCGCATCACGCCGCATTTGTGGATCTTTTGCAAAGCGATCAGCGTATATGCATCTAGGGTGCCCTAACCAGGACCCCCGTAGATCAGCGTGGTTCTCACTCGTGGTACCAAGGTGCGCGTCCCCTCGTCGCGAGCCGCCAGCTATTGCCGTGATTGGTGGACCTCGTGTTTGATGAAGAGATGTTTATCGCATCCTTTTACAATACTTTTTTATCATATATCATTATCACTAATGTTTGTCCTAATTACAATTAATATATAGTTATGTAGAATATATATAAAAAATCTGTAGATAAATAAAAGATGTTGGTACTTTCAAAATATATATTATTATATGTGATAGCTAAAATCAATTTTTTGATAACTCTTTAAAGTTAATTATTAATTATTCAGTTATCGTATTTAATATAATTGCGCATTTATGTAATTGTAATTTTATGCAATGAGATTCTCGCTAGCAAAATTATTTTCATTCGCAATTTGCGTTTATTTCAATTTATCCACTTTTCAGTTACGAAAGAAATATCTGCTGGAATATCTTAGAATTGATGCAAATATCTGTGAACGACGCTTTGAAGATCTGTTTGTTTTCTTGTCCTAGTCACGCGCAATGTGCCCGAGAAAGAGGGGGACGGGTAGGATTCCCAAGTCTTTTGAGCAGAACTAAGTTCGTAACGCGTGATGACATGCTTACTTACGCCAGTTGACGTCGATGCCTTTACGCTTTTCGGCCACCGACCGGCGGTGGAGAATTTGATTAGGGCAATTATACGGCGCCGATCGGATCTTCACGTGAAATTAGATTGGCCACGTTGGTTATTACGCCAACAAACAGCCTTTTTATCTAACTGCGGCCACTCGAAACATGTTCCGTAGCACGCTTGATCTCTATCTCTAGGCTTATGAGCCGATGCTAATTCAATTCGCATTTAATATCAAGAG